GCCGAGCCCTGTGAAGGGAGCTTTATGGCAGAATTGGCCAAAGCTATTTTTGGTAAAGTTATAGATGTGCATAGTAGTGATATAATACTTAGGGCTTGCTGGAGTGGAAGTTAAACACAGAAGTTAGTTGAGAGGTTCTGTCGATTTAACCCATAAAGCCAGAAACATGTAAGTACCAGTGAGGTATGGTGTATGACGAGTCCTAGAATTATATAAAATGCAAATCCTACCCTGGAGGTAGCCCATGAGTCTAGTTGGAGAGACAAGATCTTGACCTGCGCTCTCAGTTGAGTTCTGTAACCTTTAGAAATGTTATTTAATAGCTCTGGGCCTCAATTTTTCTCATTTGAAAAATGGGGGTAATAACATAGTCTGTTTTAGGGTTCTTACAGTAATTAAATGGGATAATGTTTGCGAGGAGCTTAGGCATAGCCTTCAGATGCATTATCTTATTTTTCTTTGTCCTTATTAGTCTAGAGATGTCTGATTTATTCCCACAGTAGCAATAATTCTCAGTGTGTGCTGAGTGTCCTAAGAGTAGTGTGGAGAGTGTCATGAGAACTAGAAGCAGCAAAGAGGTGGGGCAGGGCTCTAAGGAGGGTTTCGTGGAAGACCGTGGACCTTTAGAAGATGATGATATTTTCAGACAGGTATGTGAAGGACAGAGAGTGAGTGCTCTCAGATGGGAAGCATAGCAAAAATGAGGATTTGAAAGCTCTTGCTGTGTTACAGTAATAGATAAATGTGAGAGCAAAGCCTTAACCTCCTGTGCCCTTAGGGAAGATATGGATGGACTTGGTGAATGAGAACTCTAATGTCCTTAGCATACAGCAGTAAATACTAATCATTTATTCCCATATTTATTTATAATTATGAATATAAATATTCTTAATATAATATACATGTGTATGGGCAGTGCCTGTGGCTCAAGGAGTAGGGCGCCAGCCCCATAGATGTTACTAAAAATAGAAGCAATGTCATCTCAAGAATAGAAGAAATGTTATCTCTGCTTTTTTTTTTTTTTGAGAGAGTCTCAGGCTGTTGCCCTAGGTAGAGTACTATGGCATCATAGCTCACAACAACCTCCAACTCCTGGGCTCAAGCAATCCTGTTGCCTCAGTTTTTTGTTTTTAATAGAGACAGGGTCTTGCTTTTGCTCAGGCTGGTCCTGAACTCTGGAACTCAAGCAGTCCACCCGCCTCGGCCTCCCAGAGTGCTAGGATTACAGATGTGAACCACCATGCCTGACCTCTCTGCTATTTTTTGATTAGCTTTTGCTAACATTGATACTCTCTTTAGGTCAAGGGAATATTGCCCATTTTGAATTAATCAAAACTGAATCTTTAAATCTACTTAACTGCATATGAACTGCTTCTGTGTTTATTCACTGTTTCTACCACTGAACTGTCAACAAGGAAGGAGGACTGTTGTCAGCCCTCCTCACGGGGAGTCTCCTTGCTTCTCTTAGCCTTTCTGTCTTACAGACCAGGCAGTGGCGTCATGTCAGTCTGTGTATTGAGTGTTAGCGAGGGCGGCTTTCTCTGGCTCCCTTTCTCTTGGAAGCTGAATCCTGGAGCAGTGTTTCTCGGAGTGTGATTTTTAGACTACTTGATGTTAGTTAAAATGGACATTTTTGAGCTATCCCCTAACTGTGTGTGGGACTAGAGTTGATATTCCTGGTTAGTGAAATCATGTGTTTGGTACATATATACTGATAAAGGAGATTAGGTCCTCGGGATGCTTGTAGAGAATACATTTCTTTTAAGACAAGAGATTTGAGAGAATCTATATCTGGAAGGGAAAATGCCCCTTCTGAAAATAGCTTCCCTTTATAGAACCATCTCTGGTTTGGAAACTAGATAATGAATTTGTTGAATTTTTTTGTCCTAATTTTAAAACTTGTTTTGCAATTTTTTATTAGGAATTTTTTTTTATTATTGTGAATTTTTTTTAATTTCAAAACTTGTTTTGCAACTTTTTATTAGGTGGAAATTAAAGGTGGAGCACATGATTATTACAATGTCCTTCCCAATAAGAGCCTGTGGAAAGCTTATATGGAAAATGGAGAAAAGCTGGGGATAGAATTCATTTCAGAAGATACAATGTTGAGTGGCCCTTCAGGTAATTTAAGTTCTTTTATTAGATATTGATCTATTTGAGGAAGAGAAATACCATCTTTGGTGAAATGGTTTTGTTTAATGGTTTGAGAGGCAGGGAGATATTGCTAATGTTTTTAATGATTTTTTCACAAACATAATGATTAAGCTAAAGAAATTAATAGACTCTTAGTGAGTACAGAATGTCAACTGGCAGACTTGTGGTTAGAAATAGCCAGACTACTTTTTGGTCTATATTCTGAATATTTCTAGTGTTTAAATTTGTGTAGTTCTAATTTTTAAGTAAAGTGATAAAATGGGAAATAGAATTTTAATTCATTCTTAGTCACGACAATAAGCAGGTTAACTAAGTACTGAGTTATCTGGGGGCATTTTTAGTTTTTGAGGAGCAACAGACAGAATTTAAATCATAAGTATTTTTGAGGGTTTTTTTTCCTTCTTAAGAGAATACTACTACTAATACTTTTGCAAGTTAGAGATCTACCTCGTATTTAATAATAGATGTTGATGAAGTAGACCCCAAAGGACTTGGCAGGAAAAACGGGGTGCTGCTGTTATTCATTGAGAAAAGGAGTTCAGGAGAAAGCAGGTCGGGGCAAGATGGGTTGATATAAATTATCAGCATGTTAAATTTGAGGCTTTTTTTTTTAAGCTGAGGCTTTCTAAGCGAATCCATTTTGTACCTGTTGAATCTAGAACCCCAAAAGATGTCAAGTCTGGAGATTTAGGAATTGATATATGGGAGGTAGGTGAAGACATAGATATTGATGAGGTTGCCCAAGTACATCAAGGGAGACGCTGCACCAACACAAGACCCTGAGCGTTGGCAGCACTGAAGAGACAGGCGGAGGAAGGGAGCGAGAGAAGGAGGCGAGTGGTCAGAGAGAAAGCCAGTTGAAGGGACTGGAGGACAGGGAGCCGGCAGGGTAGAAAACATCTAGAAGGGAGGAGTGGTGAATCATGGCAGGTGCCATAGAGATGGAGTAAGGTAAATATGGTTTAGTGTCCACTGGACCAATAACTAGAAACTTGCAGATTGTCTAGAGAAAATAGTTGAAGACTGGTGGGACCGGATGCTGGATCTCACTTCTCTGCCTACTGTGTTGACTTGTGAAATACTAGAGATAGCAAAAAGAGACTATTCTTTTCTGAGAAAGTTAGCTTTAAAGGAAAATAGAATGGATACAAGATGAGGGAGATGGAAAAGAAAAGATATAAAGATTTTTTTTTTTTTGAGACAGAGCCTCAAGCTGTCACGCTGGGTAGAGTGCTGTGGCATCATAGCTCACAGCAACCTCCAACTCCTGGGCCCAAGCGATTCTCCTGCCTCAGCCCCCCCAAGTAGCTGGGACTACAGGCACTTGCCACAACACCCGGCTATTTTTTGGTTGCAGCCGTCATTGTTGTTTCGCGGCCCCGGCTGGATTCGAACCCGCCAGCTCAGGTGTATGTGGTTGGCGCCTTAGCTACTTGAGCCACAGGTGCTGAGCCAAAAAAGAAAAGATTTTTAATGGAAGATACTTGAGAGAGGTAGATGCAGGCAAGTGCTCAGGAGGTTGTGGGGAGCGATGGTGAGTATTGAGCTGACAGGCTGGAGGACTGAAAGAATTGGCACCGAGAGGACTGGCTGGGGCATCAGAGTTGGGTGTTTTGTTTTGTTTTGGTTCTTTTCAGAGTAGCAGTAGGGCTCAGCTCAGCACTGAAGACCGTGCAGCTGCTGTCAAGGCAGCCTACTGGGCCTGCACTCTGACCCTGGCAGGCTCCTGCAGTCCATCTGCAGGAGGGAAAACATGTGCTCAGTTTGGGTTTTATTTAATAGACAAAGCAATGCAGTAGAATAACATGGCTATAATTTGGGTTTGATTTTCAGGCTTTAGGGTCTATCCACAAGTAAGATCTTAAAATGTGCTATAGCCTTTTGTCCATCTTGTCGTGGCAATACCATCACTGTGTATGTAGCTTCAGTGTGTGGAGCCATTTCTAGCACAGTTAAGTGCTTTGTGTATACTTTGTAAAGCAGTACTTTTTTACAAAGGTCAAGTTGCTCCAAAGCCTGGCCTCCATTCCACCTTTACCATGTAACTAGTAGTTATGGAACTATGGAAACTCTCAGTGTTATGTTCTTTGGAGCTTCTGATCGGGGACGCAGGGGAAAGAACTGCAGAGGGAATGAATATTCAAGGGAGACCGGGACTCACTCTGGTCGGCGGCCCAGCTAAACTTTACTGATTACCTTATATACTTTCCAACATTCAGTAAGAATTTAACACATATACAAAGAGGTGAAGTAACATTAGGAAGCTACCATTTAAGATTACAATTTAGTGTGAAGGCTGAGAAACACTTATACAATTGATTTTGTTTAAAGTAAAAACATTAGGGAGCCTGGCTGTCTGTCCTTGCTGGCCCAAAGTGAAGTTACACATTATAATGCTAATGAAGGAGGAAGACAGAGAATAGAACCCAATGCTCAAAGACCGGTCTGTCCACCCCCAGCTTCAACCTCGGCTGTTTCTCCACACCTCCTAGGGAGAGTCACTCTGCATATTCCTGCATTTCTATAGGCAAGTACAGAAGCTCATCCTCAAGGAAATGTTTCTTAGAAACAATCTCCTGAAGGAGCACATTGAGGCGAACTGCCATGTCTTGAGCAAGGGGAGCTTATCTCCTACAGGAAACATTATTTAATATCTTGTAAGCCCTGGTTTCTTCATATAGGAACTGTTCAAAATGTTAATATTTATAAAGCACTTAGAATTATAATTGGGACTTGGTAATTGCAGATAAATGTTTGCTACTGTTACGTATTTTGCTTCTTTTATTCTATACCACTTATTCTTATATAATCTACCTTTGCCTGGCATGGTGTTTGCCACATAGTAAACACTCAGTAAATAGCCACTGAGTAAATATAAGGCTTTGTTTTTAGTGTGATTTATTCAACAAAGGTTTGTGTGCTAGTCACGTGAGAGGCTAGAGGAATGGTGATTTAAAAGACCATTCCTTGCCTTGCAGAGCTTTGTAATCTAGTTTTCAAATTAGACATTAACCAAATAATCTAGTAACTAAAAACTAAAATTGAAAAGTGGAATGAAAGAGAGTATTTCACTTTTGTGAAAACCTGTGCTGGAGAATTTGACCTTACTAGGGAGGTAAAGTAAGGCTTTGCTGAGGAAATGACACTTAAAGGTGGTATCTGAATGTTAAGTAGGGGTTATGTGGTGAAGAGGAGATTTCATATATGAAGGTCCTGTGGTAGGAAGGAGAGTGGCGAGTGTCCAGAGTGGTTGGGGTGTAGGGGTCAGAGGGAGCATAGTATGTGATCACACTGAACAGAGGAATGGAGGCTCAGCTCCTGTAACTCAGTGGTTAGGGTGCTGGCCACATACACTGGGGCTGGAGGGTTCAAACCCAGCCAGGCCTGCTAAACAATGACAATTACAACAAAAAAGCCAGGTGTTGTAGTGGGCACCTGTAGTCCCAGCTACTGGGAGGCTGAGGCAAGAGAATCACTTAAGCACAAGAGTTTGAGGTTGCTGTGAGCTATGATACCACAACACTCTACTGAGGGTGACATAGTGAGACTCTGTCTCAAACAAATAATAATAAAATAAAATAAAAAAAGAAAAAAATATGAAAAAACTTTTTTTCTTTTGCTGTTTTTGGCCGGGGCTAGGTTTGAACCCGCCACCTCTGGCATATGGGGCTGGTGCCTTACTCCTTTGAGCCACAGGTGCTGCCCAAGGCTGAAAAACTTTGACAAATAGGGTAGATAGTGCTAGACCAATTAAGAAGCTGTTATATGTAATATTAGTTCAGCCAAGAGATGATGGTGTGGACTGATTGAGGATAGGTGTTAGTGATGATGATGAGAAGAGCATTTTGAGTGTGAGATATTTGGGAGATACTATTGGCAGGTGGAGTGGGGGCAGAAGAACAGAAAGATCATAGATTTAACTTTGGATATAAGTTTAAGTTTGTTCTACCCTGAAGACAGCTAACAGGCAGTATCAGGCTGGCAATCGGGTGTATGAGCATGGAACACAGCAATACATTTGAGTTGTATTTTGAATATGGTGCTTATGGACAAAATCTTGACAAAATGTGAAGTAAGAAGACAAAAGGATGTGGTAACTAATGTTTCATGGTCAGATAAAGGAGTCTGCACCTCAAAGACAGACAGAAGAAGAAGGGTCAACAAAGAGGCAGAGGGAATCCAAGTCCTGTGTCACTGAAGAGAGGACAGGCCAGGCAGCAGTGTGCACCAGGGACAGGGCAAGGGCGGGTCTCTATGACCTTCGGGAGAGACATGGCGGTGACTGATACAGGTGGATGCTGAGATCGAGGGCTTGCGGGAGGGGAGGTGGCAAGAGCAGGAGCATGTGGGTAGCCCCCAGAATGTTCACTTCTCTAGATCTCTTCTAACAGGATGTAGAACTAGAGCAAGTACCCGAATTCCGCCTGTCACTTCATAATTCAAGACTATTTAAAACCAAATGTACTTTTCTTGCCTTTTGTGTTCCAAGGATCTACTGATTTTGGAAATGTGACTTTTGTGGTTCCTGGAATTCATCCATATTTTTACATTGGGTCTAAAGCCTTGAATCATACTGAGCAATACGCTGAGGCTGCAGG